CAGAAGCAACATTTTTATCCTCTCATTTAATATGGTAATTTATAAATATTTCAAATCTATCATAGGAGAGTTAAATCTAATTCCAGGTATTGATAATAATTGATACATTTATTCTCAATTCTGTCATATTTACATTTATTATGTGGATTATCTATATGCTTTTGTTTTTTTGTTTTTCTTTAAATATTTTATTGGGGAATTAGGGGAGGGAAACAGCATTGGGGAATCGGGGAAGGGGAACAGACAAGCTGCTGTCCTTTTGTTCGTCAGTCTAGGTGTAGAGGACGTCGCTTCACTGGCCCATGTTGGTATTGTGATCACTGCGCTCTTCCCGGGTGAGGCAGTTGCTCGCCGGCCATTGGATGGCAGCTCACACTGGCTGCCAGCCACTCACGGTAGCTTATGGCAGCCCACTGCAGCTTCACTGCAGCCTACGCCGTCGCTGGCGACTCACGGCAGCCCAGTTCCAGGTCAAGCTGTTGTTCACCATCTTAGCTGTAGAGGGCAGTGTCACTGGCCCTCATGTGGGATCTGAACCAGGGCCATGCTGCTCAGAGCTGGCGTTCCAAGCCAACTCTTACCCAACGCGCCACTCGGCCAGCCCTATGCTTTTGTTTTATATGCTATGTTGCTTTTACTATGTGAGGGTGTTTTTTTTTTGCCTTTTCTCTAAAAAACTTTATTATAAAAAATACCAAACATATGGAAGAATTAAAAGAATAATACATTAAGAGCCATATGCCTACCACAGGTAGATTTAATAACTGTTATTTTGCCATATTTGCTCAATCTATATGTGTGTGTATTTTTTTCCAAACTACATGAAAGGAAGTTGCAAACATAATAACTTTCCTAGTTCATCTTGCATCTCCTAAGAATAAGCCTGTATTCTCCTATATAACCACAATGCCATTCTAACACCCAAGAACACTAACAAAACTCTTCCCAAACCATCTAAAATCCAGTCTAGCTCCATATTCAAATTTCTCCAATTGTTCCCAAAATATCTGTAGAGCTGTGTTTTAAAACCAGAATTTGATAAAATCTCTTTAGTCTCTTTTAATTCTAGAAAGCTTTCCCACCTTTTCTTTTTCATGAAGTCAACTTTTTAGAGAGACCAAGTTAGCTCTTTTACAGTTAGCTCCACACTGTAGAGTTGCCTGGTTGTGAAATCTAATTTTTGATGTAATAGTCTCATTCTGAGAAAGCATGGGAGAGATTTTCTAAAATATTTTAAATTTTGAAGAGGGTATATTTAGTATAAATACTGATTTACAAATATCTAACAATACATTCACAAAGATGGGAGGAAAGAAACTGTCCAAGGCATTTAGCCCTTAAAATTAAATACAGCCCAAGAGCATAATGTTACTCCATTTTCCATAGCTATAATATAATAAATGTTAGTAATGTAAAATGAAAAGCATCTCAGATAGACCACTGAATGACTTTCAGATTACTGATAAGGATTCCCAGTTAAATATTCGATACTTACCAGCAAATGGGCCCCGTAATATCCTGGCTGACGTTGCCAATACTTTTCTTACTGCTTTGTGAAGCTCTTTTCTTGCCTGGTAGGTGATTCCTAAAGTGATTACAAATTTAAATAAAACCAAATAGGTACTCTAAATGCTAAGCTCCAATACTTCAAAGAGAAATATAAACTAAACTCCAAGTTTTTTCAAAAATAAAATATATAAAATAGCATCTGTTTTTTTGGGCACTATCAAAGCAACTAAAACCATTATGGGAATACAAAGCTCTAGATCCCAAAATAAAAGATTACTCTCTAAATCAGAGAAAAAGTAAAAAAACAAAAACAAAAACACTAACCAAAGCGAACAAAAATCCTCATCTACAACATAGGATTAGCTACATTCAAGAAAATGTCCCTTAAAAATAGCCCTCTCAAACTAAAATCTGGAGATAAAAGTATCTCGCTGAGATTACGCTTCACCACATAGGTAAATTATAAGCTATAAAAACAATTTGTGTAATTGAAATTGTTAACACCATAAAAGCATGCTGAAATACAGGAATGTGAAATCACACTAAACACACACAGAACAGAGTGGTGATATATGCAGCTCGTAGATGGGGAGTAGAACCTGCCCCACTCAGGGATCATAATGTGGTAACAGGCATGGTTCTTCTGGCTGCTGTTAAGTCAGGTGTGTGACTCACCAGACAGCCCCTATCCTAATAAAAAGATACTCCTCTGCTCTAAAATGTCACGTTCACCAAGCAATCGTCTGATGACTCATCAGGTTTCCTTCCATGTGACTTAACTATGGACAAGAGGCATGTTCTGACTAGTAAAAACAGGTTTTGTAGCCTTCATAACAGATTTTTCTCCCCTCTGTAAATAAGCTGGTATTCACACTTATGAATCTATCTCGTGAGTTTAGTGTGCATGCAAAAAATCCCTTAAATCAGAAATATCTCTGAGCTAAGTGACAAAATCACGTTTTTATGCTTGCCAAATGGAGGGCCAGCCTCCAAATTGACGGTCCCCACTAAGGTGTTCCAAATTTAGACTAAAATGGCTGGCTCGCCTTCACTTCATTTAGTTATAGGAGAGCTGTAAACTTGAGTTCAATATGGAAGTCCAAAATTTGGTCTTAACTCTTTAGGAACTTGGTTCTCACATGGTTTGGTGATCATCTTAGAGGTAGCTGAACCTATCTTATTAATACTGTTTTAAATACTCACTTTTAAAATTCAATAACTAGCTTCAATTTTTCACAAAGATGGGATTACTTTACCATAAACTTACCAGGGTTTTCTCTTTTATCTAAAGAAACTGTGTGCACATATATATATGACTTCATTTTTTCTCTTTCTACAACTTGAGTATCCAATGTCAAAGACTTTTTCAGGGCCAGGACCTCATATGTAAGAAATAATGAACCTCTTAAAAGAAACAAAAAATCCATCATAAATATATGATCTAAACGTAACCCAAGAGCCACTCTTTTATTAAGCTTTACATAGTGAACTTTTCTTTCTTTTATATTGGGAAACAAAATACAGTAATGTATATATATCATATATTATATTTGTATATATATGCAAAATATATGTATCAAGGTATATGCACATTTCAGTTTAACAAATAATAATAGCTACATTATCATATTCAGGCAAAAAAACAGTACTTCAACAGTACCCTCGAAGCCCTGGTCCCTCCCTGGTCCTGACCCACTCTCGTATCTCTATAGCTAATTATTACTCTGACTTATAATAACATCCTAGCTTTTCTTTATATTGGGTTGTCGGAAAAGTAATGACGTATTTTTTCTGTTTTTTGTTGCAAAAATGCGTCATGACTTTTCCGACAACCCAATAGTTCACCATCTACACATACATCCTTAAACAACAGAGCTTAGTTTTGTCTGCCTGTGACGTCATAGGAATGGAATCGCACTGTGTGCGTGATTTTGTTCAGCCCTCTGTGAGATTCATCCTCGTTATTGTGTGTATCCGGGGTTCATGTGTTGATCTTTTCATATGGTTGTGATTCACCCATTGTATGAATACACCACCATTTACTAACCCATTCAACCATATTTACGGAATTTCTAGTTTGAGTCTATTATAAACAATGCTGTTACACATCTCATACGTCCACACTGCACATACAAGTGTTTATGTTCCTCTAAGGGACGTTATCTAGAAGTAGAATTACAGACCTTCTTACAGCACATATATATTGTTCAGCTTCACTAGGGTAATGCCAAACTATTTTTTCAAGAAGATTAACCGATTTGTACTCCCATTACTAGCATATGAAAGTTTCTCCTAACAGTTACACTTAATATCAATTTTTATATGTGACATACAATGTTGTTTGTTGTGTTACCCCAAAGGAAGGTTTTTTCGCCTAATCAGGTTGACCTGCACACTCCCAAATCCAGGCACAAAGGCTGCATTCAGCGCTTCTGTCTGATTCGGAGCTTAGGAAACCTAGTTACACTAAGCTTTCTCCTGAACTTCCTCCTAAAACAAAAGCAGGTTAAACCAAAAGGCCAGACAGTGGTCAGCACCAGAGAAGGAACAGGGAATCTCTCTGAGCAGCCAAAAAAATCAAGTGTATTTAGTATTTTTATCATGCTTTCCATGAAAGACAAAATTCTTTACTAGAAACTGTGTGATTAATTCCACTCTATTCCTGAATATAATTGTGATATAAACTAAGAAACTGCATTACAGAAAAGAGTACTCATTTATCCTTTGCCTGGAATAAGTCAAAGGGAAAAATCATCTAAATATATTTTGCCTTACTGTATGATATCATGGAGAAATCTATGTATTTGGATAAAATGCCAAATATTCTTTTATCAATTTAGCATCTAAGAGTTGATTTTATATTTATACTAGTGAAAAAGTATTATTAACAAAAACACTAGAGCAGTATTAGACTTTCATTTAACATATATATCCCCCTCTAAAAAAAATAAAAAATAAAAAAAAGGAAAAATTAAGTTTTTGGAGAGTCACTTCATTCATTAAGCATGTGCCTGTGAAACAGCATGAGATGAGAGAGGTCTATTGGTTTTCTCAGTCACCCTCAACCTTCTTTCATAAGAACTTTATGGTGATTTAAAGGATTTGCAAAAATAATTCTGACTATAGTCAATCTTTACCTTCTCTACCCACTTTAAAACTGAACGTGACTTTAGGCAAGTGAAAGCTACTCAGTGCATCCCTGCTCTGTACGTGTCAACTCCTTTCCTTGGAGCAACAGTGCCAGGTGTGCAGGTGGGTAGAGTCCCCCTCATGCACTTGGACCCAAGAGAAATCAATACTCAGAAGGTAAAGTAACTGGATCAATACAACACTGAAGTGTAGAACTAGTGATTAACCAGGGATGAATCCACCTAACTGCAAAATCTATACCCTTTCACTAACCCATGCTACCCGTAAATCACTTTCCCTGGGATTTCAAATGTAGGATAATGAAACCAATTAGTATTCCACAGTTGACACTTACCCTACAATGAGGGATCCGGTAAACTTGATTATATTTCCTTCAAAAAGAAAAAAGTCAATGTGAAGGATTTCATTTTAAAAACATGATAGGAAATAGGCAACACTGTAAGTCTCTACCTATATCATACATAATCACGTAAGAAGTTACTGGTATTTTTCCATAAATATAATCAGTTGCTATCAACACATGGCTTCCTATCCCCAGATACAAACAAATGCACCAATAGCACGGGGCACAAAACCAGAACCTGCATATTTCGCGTCGCTACTCCCGTTCATGCTCGCTCTCCTCTTCCTCCCGCCCTTCTTCTGCACCCCTCCACATCAGCAGACAGCTACTTCCTGTTACACTCCTGGTGTTGTAGGCCGACAGTGCTTCCCCTGCGTGCGGGGTCCAGGGCGCTAACTGCCCTTCTGACTCTCTCAGTTCACAACCAATTAAACAAAGGAATGGGGACAAGTCTTCCTATCACTACTAAGACTATCTTGAGGGATTGTTTGTCAAGTGGAGACACAGAAGGACTCTTCCCAAAATAATTCTGTTATAATTGGTGGCTAAGACAGCCCCATTTTAAATACAGGTTACATTCTACAAGTTTATTTGTAATTGTTTTGTTCAGAACTTGGAAAACACTTTTTTTAACATTAAAAAAAAAATCCTAGTGACAGACACAGCCAGTTGCCTATCCAATACACATAAGCCCCTTAATCCTTACTAACACAACCTGATTTCTATCTAATCCCCAGACTCCCCAGAGGCAAGGGCTGGTTGTACAACAGAGTCGTCGCCAATCAGATTTCGATGGAAATTGACAGGGAGGGATCCCTCCCAAATAAAAAGGCAAAGCCTCCTTAGATGGCTTTTGGTTTTTCGACCTTCTTGATGTCCAGGGATTCAGCAACCATCTGTGACCATGAGGACAATAAAGGTAATGGAGCAGGAAGACGAGAGGATTGCTAAGCTGCAATTCCTGCCCTAAGCTGTCTCTGTCTTGACTTCCTATTAAGTAATAAGAAAAATGAAAACCTTACTAATTTAAGCCATGGCGGTCAAGTTTCTGTTAACATGCCCTGAACACAATCTCAACTGATATATTTCCCATGATGGCTAGGTGCTGTGGCCAGCCCACAAGAAATGTTACCTAGAATTTGTTGGCTGTATAGAGGGCAGCCCTTTGTTCAGAGCTTTGCGCTGCCAAGAACACAGCTCTCCTCCCTAATGAGGAATACGGAGCTCTCCCCGATCGACTTCCCTACGCATCAGGCAAGGAGATGAACATTCCTCCCAAACTCTAGGACCTAGTGGTTCCAGAACAGGGAAGAGGACAATTCCAGGAGTTCTGCAGGGACGAGGTCAGAACTTGTGGCACACAGAGCTGCCCGACTGTGCAACTCCTCTGGGACGTTTTTCATTCCAAGATGGCTGCCTGGACTGCCTCCCGCCACCGTCCCCCCGAGGGCCCCGGGAGCAGCCAGTGTGTTTCCCTCTCGGCTGCTACCACCATTGCCTCCTACTAGAATGTTTCTTTTTCACTGGAGCCTGGGAACAGAACAGTCTCACAGCCTTTTCTCCTAAAGTCAATTCACCACTCTCTTCAATTTGTTCTGCTAGAAATGAGAGAAAAAAAGCTCCTCTTTTCATACTTAAAATACAGAACCATAAAATTTTCTAGATGAAAAAGATGTATTGCAAAAACAGGCCTATTGTAAAAGTCAAAAGCATGCTCCATGAGAACAGGGCTTTGCATTATTCGATACAGGAACACCTCGCTTTACGGCACTTCACTGTATTGTGTTTTTTAATAAACTGATGGTAAGACCCTCCACCCGAAAAAAGATTCCAACTTGCTGAAGGCTCAGATAATGGTTAGCACCTTTTAGTAACGATAGTTTTAAATTAAGGTGTATACATTGCTTTTTTAGACCCTAACATAATACTGCACACTTAATAGACTACAGTATAGTATAAACATAACTTTTATATGCACTGGAAAACCAAGAAATGCGTGCCTCACTTTACTGCAATATTTGCTTTCCTGCAGTGTCTGGAACGGAGCCTGCAGTGTCTGTGAGGCATGCCTGTACTGTATCCTCAGTGCCTGGGACAATACTTGGCACAGAGCAGATGATAAATAAATGTTTGTCAAATGAATGAAAGATGATCTAAGCCAATCTTCTCATTTTAGAAATGAAGATAATTAGATTAGTGCTAGATCCTAAGCTCCCGTAAAGCCAGCACAGCATCCTCCTTGTCCGCCACCGAATTCCCTGAACTTAATACGTGCCTGGTACCTTGTTTTGCAGGAGCTTAGTAAACGGTTGCGGAATGAGAATGCAGCGATACTTAAGCTGAGTTCAGAAGGAAGAGTATGAATCTGACGGGTAACGTAGGGGAGGAAAAGGTCCCCAAGAAAAAGGCGTATGCATGGCCCTGGGCCTACAGATTTGGGGTGGACCATTAGCACAGAAAAGCCATACACAAATCTGAGCTTTGTCATGGGTTAAATGTTTGTGGACCACCCTATGCACCTAACCACCCTGGAAACAGGGCACCGTTTCTACAAGACAATATTATTGTTTTAAACAGTACTCACGGATATCCTGCCAGTATGTGCTGCTTTTTGGCGGAGGAGCTGAGGTTCCCAGTCTTCTGCAACACATGACACAATAAGCAGCCAGGGACATTCTGTGTGTTTAGAACAATTACAACAAAGTTAATGTAGTGTCTAATTACAAACGTTTCTTTTAATCATAAGGACATGTTGTAATCACAGTGGACTGCCCACAGTTAGACTTTTTCCCAGACCAGAAAGAAAACTTTTCAATTAAAAAATATTTCTCCCTTCAAAACTTAAAGCTGACTCAAGAGAATATTTTGCTAGTACTTTCATTATTCTTCTTCAACCTGCGTCCAATTGTGAACAACAGTTATTAGAAAAACTGGAAAACACAGATTAATCAGGCTATCAATACAGGAATTTAAATGTTTTAGTCTTTTTAAGTCTATATGCATATAGATATTTATATTTACTTCTGGTGACTAAAGGCCCTACAGAAATGAAAAGCAGCTCTGAACAGAAGATATGCTTAGAACCCACAGAAGTAGTTAGCTTTTCTCTAGCCCCTTCACAACCGTATCCAACATTGTTTAAAATCTCTGAAACGTGTTAATTGTTGACATCCTATCTAAGGAGAAGAGCAGATCCATTTCATCAGCTGAGTAAAGATGATCTAAAATAACGCAATGGTTCCTAGAACCACTTAGTATTCTAGAATCATATCAGATTCTCTTTGGATGAGATATATATATATTTTTTCTTGAGGGACTCGTGTGACAAGTGGTCCTTTGGTTCAACATATAAAACACTTCTAGCAGTTTTATAGAGGTTAGTGGGAAATTACTTAGTGTACATGTGTAAGAAACACGTTACAGATAACACAAAAAGCTTTAAAATTTTTTCTTGTGATTCCAGTACATCAATTGATGACTAAGCAAACTAGTTTAGGCAACAGGTAAACTTGTCAAGGTCACTGTTTTGAAGGTCATTGTTTCTTATCTTCTCACTTGTTTAATGGGTTGCTACTACTTCTCTAGGAGATGTAAGGATAATGGCAAAAATGATACAAAGACCATAATGACACACAGGTGCTCATTTAACCAGGGCAGAATGCAATGGAAACTACTTTGAGTTTGGCATAGATTTACATTTTAATTCCTGTATGAAAACTTGACTAAATCACAAACGCAGAGCCAAGAATACTCACTGCTTCTTTCAATCCTCACTCCTACTATAAAGCAGTCAACTGTAAGACATCATAAAAATATTCTTCACTATTACTTCTCTGGCGAAAACCTGCAGTGTGAACTGAAACGCACCTCCCCCAGCAGGCTGCCCTCCCACGGAGTCCTGGGTATAAATCTAAGTATACTGGAAATGTACTTTTCATCTTATTGCTTTCTGAATTTCCTCAGATGACATCATTGGCCCTTGCAGCTTTCTCTAGAATAAACTGTTCCATGTCTAACTCTCTAACTTTCAACTCTCTCAGTCTTGATTATTTCCAGTTTCCCTGCTCCCTGGCCTGTCAACAAACCTTCCACCCCTTGCTTTTCCAGAAATGAGCAGCCTGCCTTGTGGCTGTACCTCCCGCCCGTCCCGCCTCCACTCCACGGTGCCTCACTGCACCCTGTCTGCTCCCTCCACATACCAGGCCCCTCCTTTATCTACCACCCTGCAATCCTACCCTGACAGCCATGCTTTCGCCATTTCCACACCTGGACAGCTGAAATGGCGGTGGGGTAAGACAAATGGGAGAGGGCGCGCCGTGATTTTTTGCTGTCCCCCATCAGTTCTCTTCTCGTCCCACAAGGACTTTTGCCACACCTCTTGCCCGACCTCCATCCCTCTCAAATGACCTTGTCTCTTATTTGACTCAGAAACTTGAGACTGAACTCTCTCAACTTCTGTCCCCTTACCTACAAGCAGGGAGACATCCAGGTATTGGATACTAAAGAGCAAAAGAGTTATTTATAATGAGCAAAGATATCACACAATAAATTACTGGAGTCTTAGAAAGTTTTATATCTTTCTTCTAAGATTCCGCTAAGCAATCTCTCAGAAATGCTTATGTATAAATGCTTCAGAATTACAATGCTCCCTTCCTACCTACCTCGGACATTACAATTCCCAGTAACTCCTAACGCTCAAGGGGCCCATGCAAGTAAGACACCCTAGAGCCTAAGCTCCCTGTTTCCGCAGTGTATCTATCTACCTTGGCCTCCAAAGGTATATTCATCTGCATCGCCCTTTCCAGGTTTCAAATGGATCTTTATCTCATTGTTCCTTCCTGGTTCTAAGAGGCCTCGTCCCTTCCTCAAAAGGAAATGTACCGTTTATGTTCAAGAGCTCATCTCTTCATTTTCATGGAGACCTTGATTCATTATCCATCTGCTTTTCTCTTCTTCATCTTCACACACTCCCTCTCTGTCAGCTCTTTCTACCCCTCCCCCCTAAATGTTCTCCCATCAAAACACAAAAAGAAAACAAAAAACCAAGATCCAAGTGCGCTGCAGCCTCTTCTCTGGCTTCTCCTTATAAGATTCTTCCCTGTGTGTCTTCCTCCAGCACTGAAACAGGGTTCCATGAGGTCACCAGTGAGTGACACCTTTGCTGTTCAGCCCATTTTCAGTCATCTTATTGCTTCGTCTGAAGTATGTGACAACTCCCTCCTTCTCTAGCAACTATGCTCTGTCTTCTAGTTTTATCTCACATTTCTGGCTACTCCATCCCATTATTCATTCAAAGAACACATACTGAGCACCTATTACCTGTCGGGGACAGAAACGTGAGCTGTGAATAAGGCAGCTCAGCCCCCTGCCCTTACTGAGCTTAAAGCTGGCTCAGCTGCCTCCGCCTGGCCCTTAAATATTAGTGTTCCAGTGGGTTCCATCTGTGGTCCTGTTTTTTCCTCATGCTATACTTTCTGGCTAATTTTAGTGCTTTCCTCACAAACATGAACACCTAGAAGCTTATGATCCCCAAATCTCTGGAACTAACCCAGGTCTCTCTAATCTTCAGAGGCATATATTCAACTGCCTAATGCACACTTGCACTTTGAAGCATCACAAACACCTAAAACCCAGAGTGTCTAAAATCAAATCCCATCCCCTTAAAACCAAATATCCCAAGTCCATTTATGATTGGGCCATAGTTTTCCCATTGATTAGAAACGACTCCTCATATACCAAGGTCTTATCTAGCTGGGGTCCATTTCTGGACAGTTTTGTTCCATTGGTCTGTTTGTCTAAGCCTGTATCTTTTAATTCCTACACCTTTAAAATAGGCCTTGACAGCTTTTAGAGTGAGCACCCCGCCCGATTTTTTTTCAGCATTGTCTCAATTGGGATTTTGGAACTGAATTGAATTTACAGATTAATTTGGGGAGAACTGATAGCATACAGAGTCCCACCATTCGTGAAAAGTGTATCTTCACGTCTGCTTTTAGATCTTCTGTAATTTTCTTCACAAAGGTCATGTGTGTTTTTTGTTTCTTCCTTTCATGAACAATTTCAAATGTATAAAAATGCAGACAAGAATAAAATGAACCCCATCACTCAACTTCAAAAATTTTCAACACTTGGTCAATCACGTTTCATCCATACCTACTCTATCCAATTGGATTTCTGCATGATAGACATTTCTTGTATCTGCACCACTAATGAAAAAACATGCTAGTGTGACCGAGGAACTGAAATTTTTATCTTAATTTTGATTAATTTTCATTTAAACAGCACAGATGACTAGTGGCTATGGTACTGAACAGTGCAGTTTATGCTGTAACCCACATTACTTCCCAGCACCACCACCACCACCACACTCGGTTATTTTGAAGCAAATCCAAAATGTCCTATCGTTTAACCTATAATTACTTTACTATGCATCTCAAAAAAAAAAATTAAGCATCATTATGTCCAAAAAAAATAATTCCTTAGCATCATCAACTATCCAATGAATGTTTCAATTGTTTCATTAACTTTTGTTTTGCACTACTGGTTTGTTAGAATTAGGATCTAAAATAAACAAGGTCTGCACATAGCATTGGGTTAATAATGTGCCTCTTTTTTAGTCATCACGTCTGTAATTACTGGTTATTCAGATTTTCTTTCTTCTTGAATTAGTCTTGATAATACCTGTTTTTCAAGAAAATGGGCATTTAAATTTTCAAAATCATTAATATGAAGTTGTTCATGCTATTTCTGTTTTTTATCCCTAAAATTGTCTATCTTTTTTTTGTTCTTAGCATTGTTTTACTTTTTTTTTAAGATTTTATCGGGGCATTGGGGGAGGGAACAGCATTGGGGAATCAGGGAAGGGAAACAGACAAGTTGCTGTCCTTTTGTTCTTCAGTCTAGTTGTGGAGGACGTC